TTTATGCTTTGCCTTGGATTAGGGGTCAGCACAAGAAACAGTCAATTAAAAATGCTTTTGTAGGCCGGCCCGGTGGTGCACTCAGTAGAGTGCGGCGCTTGGGAGCACAGTGGCGCTCCCGCCGAGGGTTCGGATCCCATATGGAGACCGGTCCGCTCGCTGGTTGGGCGCGGTGCGGGCGCGACACCAAGGGTTGCGATCCCATTACCGGTCAGGAAAAAAAACAAAAAAAAGGAAAAAAAAAATGCTTTTGTATCAGCTGTAAAAACTGCTGTGGAGGATCTTGTCTTTGTCATCTGCTTCCATGTGGAAACTAATTTTCAAATCCAGTGCCTTGAAAACTTTTGCCTCTTCTGAGAAACTGAAAGGCACCTTCCTTTTTAAAAATGTATTTCACTTTTTGCCGTTATTACTAGGAAGCTATAGTCATATTTGACAAATAATCAATTTGCTTCTTTGATCTTAGTTTCTTATTTCTATCTCCCACTTTACTATATATCTATCTTCTCTTTAAGTTATTTCTAATTCATTTAAACTGTAAAAAAGGTACTAATGAATAAAAAACATTTCAAGTATAGAAAGGAAAGTGCAGAAAATGAGATAAAAACCATTTGCTAATATTCCTCTAAAGAATTTATCACTGAAATACCACTATACATGTTTCATCCTGTTAAAGTTCTTTTGGCTAAATCTGGCTACATTTAAAAATATAGAATGCTATTTTCCTTAGAGAGACTGTAAATGACTATTTTTGTAATTGCCCATGATTATTCTCTACTTCTACTGCCAAAAAACATAAAGTTTGGATCACACACAGACAACAAATATCTATAAATACTTTGTTTTTAAAGATTAAACCCTTATGTTTTTCAAGACTAACAGGCAAAGCTTTAGTTTCTGCTTTCACAGTATACAGAAAGAATTCAGAAACTGCAACTATTAAAAGGCTGCACAAGGCATAAGATAAACTCTGTGGCCTGCACAAAACTGAATGACACGAGGACTGATGAATGAAAGGATTTCCTGAGTTGTAAGAAATCAATCTAGTTGGCCTTGGAAATCAAAATGTTAACAGAAAGAAAACTACTGCTAGCAGTAAAGTGTCCCCTGAAAAATATCTCAAAATAATTTGTGTATTTTGAAAAAAGTTAAATTTGTCAAAGAGAATACCTACTGTGGCCTCTCAGTCAAAAGGAAACGTAGAATCATCATGATAAGAGAATTGTTCTCTGAAAGGCATCATAAAGGATTCCTGTATCACCTGATCAAATATATCATCAGGTGTGAACTCACTCCTTCCCTGGTGAGCTCGCTGAATAAAGGCAGGACTGCTCTGATTCACGACTGCCCCAATACAGAGCCCAGCTACCGGCCTAAACGGCACAGCCGTGTGGAAGAGCCACCTGGAGAAGAGGAAGGGAGCATAGGTAGGTAGAGAAGGGCAGAAGCTTCCTCTCCAGTATTAAGAGAGGACAGCATGAAAGGAGACCGTTGAGAAATGTGAAGGGGGAGAATGTTTATTCCCCTATCCCCATCATAATTCACCCCCAGATCTTTATGCACATTTACATCACATTTTTTCTTAATACTTAACCAATATTTAAAATTACCTTTTTTTTCCCCCATGAGGTTCCTTTAAAAGAATTATGCACTTTATAAACACAGTCACACATTTAACCTTAGAAAAGTTGCAGATCCTATTCTGCCATGTCTTTCTTGGTAATCCTACCTAAACAGTCCCTGTCCCTAAGACACTCCATCCCATTACCTTACTCTACTTACTTCACAGAAATGAACAAAAGAATGAATGCCATAAATTAGCCAATGAAGTCTTCCCACACTTGCTCAAAATAAACTAACTCAGCAAATAATATAGCTGGGATGTCAAATAACATGGCAACTGTGCTGTCACTGGCCCATTCCACCACAGCAGACTTTACACTCACCTTCCCTGTCCCAAATCCAGGTGGGAGCTCAGGATCCTCATCAATAAGCAGAGTTCTCAGGCAGCTGCTCCTGGGCAAGCTGAAACCTACCTGTTATCTTGGCATCAGGGCAGGACTTGACTACTAGGCTGGACCAGGTATTTCGACAATTAACTTCAGTGTATTGTTTCCCCATTCTTACTACTCTAACTAGCTTTATAGGTGTTGCGATTGTAATTTCAGGGTTAGGATTTTAGTTTCATCTTCAATACAGACTATAGGAAACTCGGGATACCCATTACTAAAGAACCCATTCTTTTACCCATGTTAAAGAAATTTGAGGTCCTTGGGAAGTCATCTTGAATTTTAAAACTACCAGGAGGAACTGCACTCACCATAGACCCCTTCAGAATACAGTTTGCAGGAATGTTAAATCAAGAGAAAAACAAGTTACCTCCGTCTTGCTTTAAGGAATAATAATAACAGACAGCAGAGGAAACAATCTAACCTCAAAGTACTTTTCTTGATCAAGAGCAGGAGACGTAACTTCTTTATTTGAGACTTAGAAACTAAATATTGTTTTAAAGATCTTCCAACGAGATGGTATAATTTGAACCCTATAAAGCTTTTTCTTTTTCCCATAATTTCGAAAGACTATTCTCTCCCTGTTCTTCAGCAATAAACACCACCACCCGCAGACTATGCAAACCCCCCTTTTTGAATCTCAGTCTGCTCATTAATTTCACTTCAAAAGAGTATTATTACACCCCACGTGTGTACTAACTAGAGGCACACTTATACAAATCCACCGGTGCTCCCCCATTGTCACCGCCATGGAATAAGCCACGTATTCTACAGCTGTAGAAGACTACTGAAATTGGAATTTAATTTCCATGTGTCAAAAATACTCTTGCATTATTTTTTTCAGCCACTAGAAAATATAAAAACCACTCTTAGCTTGTGGCTCATACAAAAACATATAATGGGCTGGGTTTGGCCCAAGGGCCACAGTTTGCTGACCCCTGATTTAGACCAGAGTAAATAAATAAATAAAAAGCACTTTACTGAAAAAGTTCTACTTTACATAAAATCTTATTACTATTTGACTTAGGCCTCTCTCTTTCTTCCTCTTTTATTTTAATTCATAATGTAATATACTTATTTATTTTTATTCATTGTAAGGATTTTCTTGCATCTGTCCTTGGTCAAATGATTAATCCTTCATATAACATGGGCGTTATTTACCTAAATATCTGAAAGTTTACATGTTATATAATGTTATGCTTTCAGGGGCAATTTACCTATAATGTCTGGGTATTATAATTTCCCTGATAGTGGACATTTTGTTCCAGAGTAATAGAATCTATTTCTCACATCTTCCAATATCTTAGGTGTATGAGTGAGTGATTCATTGAGAAGAGAAAATAGGATAAATAGTCAATAGAATGACTGAAAGATATTTAGGGCAGATGAGATGAATATAACTACCAATGCCTTTTTACAAGCCTTGTTTCTCTAAATGGAATGAGCCAGCCAAACTTCTGTATAGAAGTAAAGATTAAGTCATAGTAAGCTACTGAGAAAACAGGAATAAATATGAACTGGTAGGAGAAAAGTATTTGTTGAATAATGAATGAGAACATCTTCCCCTTAGAGAAATGAACCCATCCACAGAATTTCCAAGGAGATGATATGAAGAGTTACTTTGGTTCCATCTCCTCTGTCACCTACCGGTTGACAGATGAGAATATTATTCAAACTTTTGTAGGTGAGATAGAGGGAACTAGATGCACAAGATACCTGGTTTAAGAAGAACTGAATCCACAGTATTTTTGTTACATTTTCTAAGTGTCAGAAGTACTACCAACCATTGTCTAAATCCCTACAGGCACAACCAAAAAGAGTAATGTGGAACTATCCAGAGAATTTAGGTAAGAAAAATATGAATCATCTGGATTTTCCCTTTAAATCTTCAGAGGAGTATACACTCTCCTGAAAACACGCTTGCTTCTCTACTACCACCCATCACAATCATGGTGGACTTTTTCATCATGCTATACTTGGAGTTGATAAAAGCAGTAGCATAAAATATACACAAACTTTAAGATAACTCCTGAGAACACAAAGCAAATTTTCTCTTCTCTACTCTACCTATTAAATAAATGCCTGGGTCCCACTCTCACTTTCATGGGTAACCACTGAATGGAAATGGAATGGCTTGTAAAGCATATTTTTCTACATTTGCCATGTAAATCCCATTTTTGGGCTTACTGGGAAAAATTAGGTTGTAAATTTATACTTTTAGCTTGTAAAATTCATTTAAATGATGTACAGTATATCCTTTTAGAATAAGGAGAATGATTTTCAACATGATTTACAAAAAAAAAAAATCAGTTCCATTATCTTATTGGTATCATGTAAAAGCACTGTAAGCCTTAATGCTTCTGAAAAAAAAGGAATAAAAGGAAAATATCCAATTAATGTACTTTTAAAAAGGGTAGAAGGATATGATGATTCAGTAAAAATTAAGACAAACAGCAAACATTGGATTTAATTTCTAGTTCTCTCCTAAAAAAAAAAAAGAGTGGGAAACTATTCTATTACTATTATACATTGTTTCACCAAGCCTTTGGCATTATCTTTGTTTTATAGGTGCAGAATAAAGCCATGTGCCACCTGAGCAAGAAGAGAACCTTCCTTCTTTGCCACGGTGAGAGAGATACATACTCAAGAAAGGATAACATTACATCCACCTGGTGTTATATGGCAGTCAATCCATTTAATACATAGCTTAATTTTCAGATAACCAGAACCTTAAACACTATGCAGAAATGATGGCATGTGCTAGTCTTTAAAAAAGAGAAAAAGGTTAAAAAAAAAAAAAGGATCCTATATGCTAAAGTGTTAACTCTGAGGAAGAAACCAATAAAAACTTGAAAATAAAGAGTTTTCAAAATAAAGCTTGACTCTAAGTGTTCATACCTGGAACAGGTTTGTTGAGTTCTAAATCCACTAGGAAAGGGTAGAGAAGGTTGTTTCACTCATTTTGCTCGGATTCAAAACGTTTATACTTACATCTTGTCTTGACCAGCACCAACTCGGAGGGTTAATCTGGGGATAACTGGACTGGGGGCTGGAGTGACAGGTTCCACTTTTATCTGTTGAAGTTATTAGTAGTACATTAGAGTTCAGAATATTTTTTAACGAAATACCTCCTACTACTTCTCCCACCTTCCCACCCCCACAAACTCAATAACAAGTTTAAGTATCAAATATGGCTAAAATGCTAGGTGCGGTTTTGTTTCTCAACAGCTGAAGGCTACCTGGCATCATGAGAAATTCTGTGAACTTTAATCACATTATATAAGTACAGTAGTTATTTCTGTGGTTTATTAGTTTGAGTTAATTGCTTGGATTTTACTACATTGTTAGAATTTTTTTTAAAACAGAATTATCTATATTATTTGGTGGAACATTTAAAGTAACTGCCAGACTTAACATAAATAGAAAAAACTGCAATGATATCTTCCCTATAAGATAAAATGCATCTATTTATGGGACTTGACAAACATTCAACTCGTCTTCAGTTTTCATTATCATATGAGAAAGCTGAAACACCAAGTGTATTAAAGAGTTAAACTGCTCCATTTTGGGCTAGCAGTATAAAGATCTGAAGTGTTGTAAAAGAAAAAAACACAGTCTCTTTCTTTTAGAAAGGATTTATAGTGAAGACAATGACTGCTGAATAAGTTGAAGACTTCAGAAACATTTGAGACACTAGTCGGTCCCAGAAAAGTAATTAAGTATGATGGTAAAGAGTCTTGTCACAATTTTCAGTTTGGAGATCTCAAGGTATAATAAATATTTTGAGTGAACAAACTAAACAAAAGCTCTGGAGTTCCAAATTATTACCTAGATCAGAGTTTTTCAATGGGGGTTTGATTGGCACTTTTGGTGGGATTTTCTTGGTTGTGTTCGACTGTCCCAGGCACTGCCAGATGTTTAATATCCCTGGTCTCAGACTGTTATATGCAAGTAGTCCACCATCAGTCTCTGACAACTAGCTGCAAATCACTGATCGATATATTTCAAGCTCGAGATTTAAATCATCATGGAACAGTGTAGTGGTTCCAAAGGAAAATGAATACATAAAATAATGCTCAAGATATTGTATTACAGTTATCTTGCACATGGATCAAATCTACTACTTTCTCATGTGTATTTACCAGTCTCTTCCCAGAATTTTTTCCTGTTATCACATCAAGGTCTGCTGCTTCAGCCATTCTCCTGAGCAGTGCCAGGCACACAGCAGGTGCTTAAAACACACCTGTTGAACTTATCTTGCAGGTGCCCTTGACTCTCTTGCCTCTTGGTTATTACACTATACATCCTGAACCAATCTAAAACCATCCTCCAGAGCATTGAGTGATACCAAAGAAAATTCTTTTTTTTTTTTTTTTGTCCTTTTTTGAGACCGGCCGCACCACACTCAGCCAGTGAGCGCTGTGAGCGCACTGGCCATCCCTATATAGGATCCGAACCCGCGGCAGGAGCGCTGCTGCGCTCCCAGCGCCACACTCTCCCGAGTGCGCCATGGGCTCGGCCCAGAAAATTCTTAAAAATTCCAACTTCATCTATGCTTTTGATACTGTTTATTTGGATTACCAGCTAACCCAGATAAGGGCAGAGACCATGTCTGTTTTGTTTATTACTATTTCCCAGTGCTTATCATAGGGTCTGACATACTAAGTGCTTAAGATACTCTATACTCAGGTATGCCACAAATGATTTAATCTACCTAAGAAACCTATTTATTTGGTGGCTGGCTGGTAGAGGCATCCGAACCCTTGACATCGATGTTATCAGCACCACACTCTAACCAAGTGAGCTAACCAGCCAGCCCTTAACTTTCATTATTTCTTTTTTTGGGGGGAGAGAGGTATTTCTATTACCATACTACATGATAATTATAACTTATACTTGTACAGCACTTAGCAAAATGTGTCTTACATATATTATATCCAACTTGATCTTCACAACTCTATAAGGTAGGTGTGGACAGTATTATTATCCCCATGTAAGGAAGGCTCAGGAAGATTAAGTGATTTTCCCAGAGTTACAAAGTTAGTAAATAAATGGCCTAAATCCATGTCTCCTAACACCAAATTCATTACCTGTTCGACTGCACTGCTCCTTGATTCTCTGACACACATTTTGAGTCCTTTTTCTGGTAAGCTTGAAGTCCAGTATGGAGTTACTCACTTTTTTGGCCAAAGTCTCTTATGATGAATGATACATACTTGTGAGATGGCTAGGGTCACTTGTAAAAAATTTTTTTTTCTCTATGGAAGGGTAACTGATTTATGTAGAAGCTGAGATTAACTTTGGCCTCACCTCCACTCAATTAAACTAGATGAGTTTTTAATGTTGTCTTGAATAGCCTGGCAGGGCAAATGAATCAAGACATGGTCTATTCATGACCTACTGTTAAAAAAAAGTTAAATGATACAGTGTGTAAAAAAGTAAGCAAACAAAAATGGAGACACTTTTTATAAGTCAGATTAAAAATAGTATGAATGTGCCCTGAAGGCAACAGGTATTTAGTCAACTAGTTGAATTAATGAATGATTCAGTACCTGCTATCTCAGCTCAAAGTTTTATCTGTAATTTGGTGACCATCTCATCCAAACAGAAACCCCTCTGAGAATGGAAGAGGGAGCCAGTAATTATACCACATGCCAGGTTTAAACTGAGATTGTCCCAGGTAAACCAAAACATATGGTTACCTTACCTAAAAAACTACTTAAATAACTCAATTTCTTTCCTAAATAAATTAAATCAGATTTAACTAGAAAAAATTCAAGGAAGTATAGAAAAAGATTAATGAGAATGCTAATAATATAGATATAGAAAGTACAATATCTTTTTTTTTTTTTCCTTTTTTTGTCTTTTTTCATGACCAGCAATGGATCGCAACCCTCAGTGTCGCGCCTGTACCGGACCGGGACCGGCAACGGGATCACAACCCTCGGTGTTGCTCCCGCACCTCGCTCAGCCAGTGAGCGGCTGGTCTGTATGTGGGATCCGAACCCTCGGCGGGAGCGCCACCGCGCTCCCAAGCGGCGCACTGTAGCAGTGCGCCACCGGGCCGGCCCCGAAAGTACAATTTCTAAATAAAAATTTTTTCCCAGGTTTTTCTTTATATTAACTTTATCTGCTTGCCTATCAACATAAAAACAGAGACATTTCCTACAATCATAAAATAATTTCTCATGTACACTACCCAGAAAACAACAAACTATATGACAATGACCTTGATTACTTAAACAATACGACTAATAACATTTTTAAATGGCATGAAGCCAAAATCTGGGGACAAAATGAGTTTTTAGGTTAAAATAAAAGAACTGCACTTTGTAGTAATGCTGAGAATTGGGGCGAGCAGAAGAGCATTTACAGTGGATTACTAAGCTTCCCAATTCACCAAAGAGGTAAAGTCCAGCAATATAAGACTCCTTTGTAGCTAACTAAAAATACATTGTCAGTGGATTTGTCCAGTTTTATGTATAAGCAATACTTCTTTCACCTGAACTAATACTAGTAGTCATATAAGCCCCTTATTGCCATGTGCTGCATTTTTTTTGCTAATCTTCAAGGATTTAGCTTCTTTGCCACATACCTCAGGGCACCAACTGATAAAGCTCTGACTCTCCATTTTTCCGGGACACCAGCAGTGCGGCCTTGCAAAAAATGAAAATCGCTCAAGAGATTTAAAGGGGAAATTTATTTTTAAAATCCTGACTTGAAGCAAAGAGGTGGATTTTTAAAAAGCTTATCTATAAAGAATCAGTTTAAATTTAAATTCTATCTTGGAACTCTTTCATGCATTCCAGCTTTAAAGTTTATCTTTTGACAGAGACTTTCTGCAAAGGTAATGGGCAGCTCTGTCAATATAATCTGTCCAAGTTTATTTATTTATTTATTTATTTATTTATTTATTTATTTATTTATTTATTTATTTATTTATTTATTTATTTATTTATTTATTTATTTATTTATTTATTTATTTATTTATTTATTTATTTATTTATTTATTTATTTATTTATTTATTTATTTATTTATTTATTTATTTATTTATTTATTTATTTATTTATTTATTTATTTATTTATTTATTTATTTATTTATTTATTTATTTATTTATTTATTTATTTATTTATTTATTTATTTATTTACTTATTTATTTATTTATTTATTTAATGTTAAACTCCTTTCGTAAAAAAAAAAGAAAAAAAACCCCTACCATATATGTGTACTAGCTAGGATTGCAGCAAATTTAGCAAGCACTAGTTCAGATTTCAATCTATGCTAGTCAGAAATAAACCCAGAAACAGTACTGATGAAAACCAGATTTAATCAGCTAATGCTGTGGATGCTGAACTATGACTACCAACCATCTTGCTGTCTTACTTAAAAACTAAGGTCGCTACATTATTTCCATTTAGAAAAGCAGCTGTGCAGCTGTGGTTCAGTATAAGTGGCATCCAGGTGGACAGCTGAACCAGAGTGCAGGCTTCCAGAAAGTGCGCAGAGGTCATGCAGATCAAGTCTGGGAGGTGGTCCCTGGTAAACTTTTATAAATTCAAACATACTCATTTACACATTAAGTTACTGGTTTCCTCTTGGAACACAGTTATGAGAAACAGGAAGGGAATATTTCCCCCCCTTTACTGGTTATTTACTGAAGACCTTTCATTTCACTAGTTAATTATGATAGCTGATGAGAAAAGACTTGAAATGAGGCAATATTACTTTAAATAGAAAGGAAAAAAGATGAAAATCTTTTGTTAAAAGAAGAAACCAGTAAGACTTTCATTCTCTAAAATACAAACTGCTTAAATTCAATAGAAGTTTGGAGGAAAATGCTAAACGATTTGGGGATAGATTAAAGAAACATTAAAATTTTGAATTGTTCTGATTACTAAAGTTAGTAAAGCTATGAGGATATCGTTTTCCTGTTTTATAAAATCAGACAGTTAAGCAGGAACTATCTAACGTTTCTTCAAAGACTCAAATTTCATAAGATCATGATGTCACCTTACTCAAGTGTGTGAAACCATTCTCACTCTTCTCATTAGCATCTGTCACTTAGATGCACCAAAGCAGACGGCTGTGACTGGCCCGCGAAGGTCACTTTGCGTAGTAAAGAGCCCAAGCTTTGGTCAGACAGATCTCGGCAAAGTCACAGCGCTTCCACTCACCAGCTGCAGCTAGTTACTTTCTGTGCACAGGTTTCTCAACCGTAAAGTAGGAACAACAATACCAAACCCTGAGAGGAGTAGCGAGGATTAAATAATCAAATTCTGGCCATGCCTGGCACTTGTATGCACTCAATAAGTGATAGTTACTAATATCATTTACTATCCAAGTTAGTTCACTCAATAGCCAAGGTTAGTGCAAATACAATTCATCAATCAACAGGATAAAAATGTTAAGAATCCTTTATAGAAGTGATGGGCTTTCCATTACAAACAACTCTTGATTATCCATGGGTTGATTATCAACATTATCGGTCATCTGTAAGAAAATTCTGAATTGTCATAGTCATATATTCACCTTGATTAAATATCACAAACAAGTCTTCACTTAGTATTTTCCATGAGAAGGTAGAAGAAAAGGCCTTTTTAGCCAAAATATTCTTAGAGATAGTATGAAACTACTATTTTTAAGCAGAAGTAAGCTATACTTTAAAATGATGCTGTCTCTTCCTGGTATTAAACAGGAGGAAGGAGACAAAAGGAAGGAAGCAGAGGGCCTGAGAGGTTCAGAGAGGTTGGAGAATACAGAGGAAGTAGCAGAGCTGGCATTCCCAGGGGACTGCCAAAGCCTGTACCCTCTGGGGACCAGCAGTAGACCTATTTATCTACAGATGGTGACATCATCATTTTTTTGGGTGAAACTACTGTGCTTTTCCAGGTCAGATTCAAATAAGAGTGTATTCAAATATGGAAACATACTTGACAGATGGATTCTGGCTTACCTTCCACTTAAGATTATAGGTACAACTGTCCAACTTCATTAACATAAATAACAAGATGTATTTATTTTTCATAATGATTCTCCCTCCAAAAAACACAATATCAAGACGAAATTTTAATTAAAGTAGTCCTGTACATTCATCTAAATACCAAAGATTCATGGTTTAAGATAATGTCATGCTGACACATACAAAAACAAAAATTTTAATAAAAAATCTAAATTGCTCTGAAATGTACTATTAGGCTTATCACTGCAAAAGTTATTATGGCTATATTTGCAACTGGTCAACATAATTGCTCTTAACATGTCTTTCATAAAAAGTTTGGTTCTATTTTAAATAAGTGACAGGCCAGACTCCTAAATCATTTTTTTTTTTTTTTGGTGGCTGGCCAGTACAGGGATACGAGCCCTTGACATTGGGGTTATCAACACCATGTTCTAACCAAGTGAGCCACCAGCCAGCCCCAGACTTCTAATCTTTACTATAGTGTATTTACCTGCCCACAAAGAGAACTAAAAGCTGTTCATAAACCACCATTCTTTTGATTATCACTGCTAGTAGAAAAGTGATTTGACTTCCTGATAGTGTGTCACTAACCCAGATACCTTGCGTATGTTATTTAACCTACCTGATTTTTAACTTAACATAGGAAAGTGTGGTGGTTAGGAATATCAGTTCTGGCTCCCATTCGATCACTTACGAGGTGTGTGATATTGGGCAAGTTTATTAATCTAAGCCTCAGTTTCTCATCTTAAAGTGATAATAATTACAGTAACTATCTTAGAGGGTTGTGATAAGGAATTAAACTTATACAATGTGCTTAGCATGGCGTTTAACACATAGTAATTACTCAATGTTAACTGTTGGTGTTTTGTTGTTTTTAGTGTTGTTACCATTATTTCCACTTTAAAGATGAAATAGGATTAAAGAAGCTAAAAACTTGTCTGGATTTTACCCTAGGTCCTCTGGATTCCAAAGCCTAAAGCTCCTTCTATCTACTATACAAAGTCCTGTTTAATAAACATATCTTTATTGGTTCTTGGTATTGATAAAAGTGGATAACGCTAGTAAAAACATTATAAGTAGGTAAAATAATGTGAGGGGTTATTCTATTTTTTTTTTTTTTAATTAAAAATATACTCTTGCTTGCTGATCTGGGTCAACGTCAGTCAGAGTTGCTTCTATGAGTTGGTTGGGATGATAAGAAGGGAGAATGAGACTGTGACCTCCCTTCTTTTGACTGAAGACATTTTCTTGGGGCAGTTTAGATATGCCTCATTGTTACTTACTATTAGTGCCTTACTTCTGTGGATATGTAAGAAGATTCTTAGACCGCATGTAACCCCATTTCAGGTATACTTTCACTTATAGGGCTTCATACTTGGGGGGATTAGTAGGATTGAAAAAAGAGAAGTCTTAGTGTTTACGTTAATATCCCTTCTATTCCTTGTCAATGGCATTTCCATGGGTTGCACTAGCCTTTATCCTTTCCTATTTGCATAAAGGGCTTAAATTTAAAAGAATGTCAAGGAAGTAGAAATAATTTTTAAAAACTGTAACAATAGTTGACTCACCCATACTAAATAGATGAGCTAGTCTGATACCATGAAGTAGCAAATTCTAGGTTTCTACATTTCACAAGTTGATTCAACATGAAATAATCACACTCACCAACCCCTTTTCCACTTACTGAGCATTTATGTGTGTGTCAGTTATGGTGCTGAACATATCTTGCCTGTTATCTGATTGAATAAGTAACTTGCCCAATTTCACCAAAATCAAGATTTGAACTCAGGTCTTACTCTACAAACAATATGATTGATTATTTTTGAAGGTCTCATAAGAGAGCTTATTTTTATACATTTTTACCTTTCATCATTTACCTGATCCATAATCCATCAAAACTGATTCAAGGACTTGTAATCTGTGCTACGACTAACTGAGCCTTTGCCTCCCACCAGGACAGGCTGAGGGACTATGCTTCCCCAAAGTCAGGTCGATGGTGAGGAAAGGCACGGACTGCTCTTACCAACCTAACTTGACAAGCTTCACCGAATTCATAACAGCTATGGAAACCACTCCACTGACTTTCCAAAGTTACACTGGTGACAGAATCCCCTGTCCGATTTCCTGAGGGCTCAGCTGCCAAATTATCAGGTACATGATGGATGAATGACTAATTGCTGTCAGGCAACATCTCTAGCAATAAAATTTCAAAAGGTGAAGTATATCTGCAGTATAAGAGACTTGGCTTCTGCTAGGTGAATGTCTTGACCTTCTCTCAGGCTCAGTTTCTCATCCATAAACGTTGATAATAATACCTATGCTACAGGTATGTTAGGAGGGGGAAAATGGTGTGTGGAAGTGCTTTAAAACCTGACAAGCACTCTACAAAAATAACATAATAATATAATCATAAAATGACTTTTAAAATGGAAATAAGAGTTGGATTTCTTTGTCTTGTTAACTTGCTGATGTTTAGTTATTGATATTGGGCTTTTCATTCTACTTTATAGTTTAGAATAGTCAAGGAGGACGAAGAAAGAATAAAGTAAGGCAGAAAAATATTAGAGCTGCCATCACTGCTGTCAGCTAAACTAATTTTTCCAGATAAGTCTGAAGTTAAAAATATTGCAAAATTATTGGTAATGATCTGCTGTAGGTCATATACATCACATTTCATTATATGGAAAAAACTGCTGGGTATTATTTTATAACCAAGCTCAAACAAAATAGGACAGCTTCTAGAGGGCAGGGAAAGGGTCTTTGAGCACTCTATGGTAGACACCATAAATACTTAGAAACTTGTTCAGAAAGTTTAAAAGAAACTTTCAAATCAAACAGTCAACCTCTATAATCCAAATAACCATGGACTACAGAGCAGGACCTTGAGAGCAGAGGTCACAACCTGTACCAAAAGGACCAAGGTCCTAGTTCCTACAAAGCTGCAGGATCTCTACCCGTTTCTCTGCTACACTCTCTGAAAAGTCTGATTTACTGACATGGTAAGACATTTCTGCTATGTGGAATTACTTTCTGCCCACCAACGAGGCTGCCAGATCAGCCTAGATACTCAGGCTTAGATACTCAGAAATGTGTCCTAATCTTATTAAAGCAGAAAATGGTAGGAATAAGAGATGCTACTGAAAGTACTGTACACAGCCATGACCTTAAATACATGCCAAAGTGGCTCACCAAGAAGAAAACTAAGTCAGAAGTCCTTCCATGGCCTTGCTATCTTCCTAAAACAGTGCCATGGTTATGCATGCTATAAGAAAAATGGAGGCAGGGCCGGCCCGGTGGCGCACTGGATAGTGCGCCGCTTGGGAAGCGCAGCGGCGCTCCCGCCCGAGGGTTCGGATCCCACATACAGACCGGTTCCCGCTCACTGGCTGAGTGAGGCGCGGGAGCAACACCGAGGGTTGCAATCCTGTTGCCGGTCCCCGGTCCGGTACGGGGGCAACACTGAGGGTTGCAGTCCGTTGCCGGACACAGAAAAAGACAAAAGACAAAAAAAAAAAAGAAAAATGGAGGCTGTCTTCTTTAGGTATCTAATATTTGGGTACAAAATACTATAAAGTGGACTTGATAATTAACAAGAATATTATTCACTGTTTAAGTGAACAGATTTTTTAAAACTGCCAGAGATTCAGTATGGTTAATAGAGAGTTTACAGTCTGTGATTAGATTCCTCTTAGGCTATGAATTTTTAACATCTTCCAGTGCACAGGGTGCTTACTTGCAAGTTTATGGGTTTTAGAATTGAAATTTTGTAACTCATTACGAATGTATTTCCAGTTAAGTTGTGGGAGATTTACATCTGAAATACACATATAATAGCTGGCTTTGTTTACCTGTATCTTTCACTAGGACTTTGTTCAGATAGTGTCGAAAATGATAAACTGCTTACTTTTTCATGCTTGTGTTTCTCCTTTTCTTTCTCTCTCTTCTCTCTCTCTCTCTTCTCTTTCTCCCTTTCCTTCTCTTTCTTCTCCTTTTCCTTCTCTTTCTCTTTCTTTTTCTTCTTCTCCTTTTTGTCTTTTTTCCTTTCCTTCTCCTTAGGTTTCTCCTTCTCCTCAAACAGTTTTTCTGGAAGCATTGGGGACAGAGACGGGAGCATGGAGGGGACCCTCACCGCAGCACTGGGGCTGAATAAGGGCAGAGCCATTTCCTTTGGGGGCAATACGAGTGGGGTTGCAGGAGCTTTTATCTTATCTTCTCTGCCTTTATCTTTAACTTTTTCTTTCTTATCTTTATCTTTTTTGCCTTTTTCTCTATCTTTCTTCTTATCTTTATGCTTCTCTTTTTCCTTCCTCAGGATCCCATCTTTCAATCTCACTTTTGGATCAACATCTTCAAATTCTTTTATTTTAAACCTATAAGGATCTGAATCATCATCTTTAAGAAATTCCTTCCATGGATACTTGGTTTCCTTGCTGGCTTCCTTTTCTCTCTCTTTCTCTTTTACTTTATCCTTCTCTTTACTTTTTTCCTTGCTTTTGTCTTTCTCCCTCTCCTTATCTCTTTGCTTTTCTTTCTTTTTCATTTTAGTCTTCAGTTCCTTTTTCAACTTCTTCTTTACCTCCACTGATGAAGGCAGCTTGGATTTCTCCTCATACACCTTGTGGAGAGGCTCGGGAGTGGGAGGAGAAACTGAAGGGGAAGAGAGATACGGGAAGCTGGGAGGCATATTTGAAGGCGTTCCCATTTTTGCTTTACGTACAACCTCATCAATCGAGGCATCCATTGTCCATGAGTTGTCAGAACTTGAAGTCCCACCTGAAAGAGGCAGAGGAGTGGATCCTGACTTCATGAAGTTATTCGTGGAAGTGGAAGCTTTTGGAGTGGCACACTCCGAACCTGAAATTCTCTTAGGGCTGGTAAAAATGTCTCCTTCGGATTCTGATCCAGAAGAAAATTCAAAAGGATCTGGCTCTCGTTCAGCACAGGCTCGTGCAATCACAGCGTCAATAGAGTCATCAATTGTTTTATCTGTTACAACAGCCTTTTTCAGCTGATTCTCATTGTTCAGTTTTCCAGGATCAGGGGGTGTTTGTGTTTGTTTCACCTGAATGGTCTCTTTACTAATTTTTTCATTTATCGTAGCTGAAGGAGTCCTATTTGGTGTTTCAGGTCTGACAGGTACTTGGGGAATATAAGTCATAACCTTGGGGCTCTTGGGGCTTTTGGGGCTCTTGGAACGTCCAGGTGATTTCTTTTCTTTGGATATACTTTTTGGTGACCGAATAGGACTTCCGACCACGGCTGGCAACTGAGTAGTTTTAGGTGATTTAGTCTTCTGTCCTGGAGAACTAGTTTTAGTTTTAGTTTTAGGTGTAAATGACTTAGTTTCTAAAGGTTTTGCAGTTGGCATTTGTGATTTTGAAACTGGAGCCAACATGGGCGGCTCTGGTGACGGAGGTGCTAGGTCTGCATTGTCCTGTACATGAACTGGAGAGAGCATTGGTGGAATCTTCTGAGTGTTTATCAAGCTGAGTGGTTCTCGAGCTTCCAGTAATACCACATCTAGGGAATCCCCTTTAGTGCTTAACAGTCGTGGTCGCTTCATGGCTGGCATTTCTTCAGCTTCAGGACTATCCAGCGGTCTCTTACCCAGGAAATTCTCATCATTAATAATTTCCTCCTCCTCCAATTCATCGTCTTCTTCCAAGGGAACCTGCATGGCTTCTGCTGATGTGCCCCCATCAGTGGGCACCTGCTCTTCTTCTTCCTCTGGTAAAAGGAAAAAAATACATGTTATTAGAATGTAACAAAACCTAACAAATAAAAACCAATGCTTCAGGCAGGATTTCCAGGAAAGAAAGAAAGTTATTTACAGTATTAAGAGAGTAAAGCAGTTAAGTTTTCAAGCATCTTCCAAACTTATGTGCCATCATTCTTTTAAGACTGACAGATATTTCCAGTTTGTCTTTTCCTGCTTCCTTAATTAATTCTTTTCCTAACCCGAGTAAATACTGTCTTTCTCTTTCCATCTCCCTTTTGTGTACACACATACACGCGCGCACGCGCACACACACACACACACACAAACACACCCCTGTAAAAACTCAAGACATGGCTGTTACCCTCAGAAATGGCAGAAGGCATATTTTTTTAGAACTTTCATAACACATTTTAATTCTTTGGACACAATTCATATACTATTTATGTCTGCTATTTGGCTTGGTTGATGAGAGCCCCTTGGAGAGGCAGTATGGTACAATGGAATGCATTTAGCTTAAACATTCGAAAAACAATTGTTTCAGGTAGAGTTCTGGCAGTACAGAGCAACAGGCCTTAGGGAATGTCTTAACCTCTTTGAGCTTATTTCCTGACCTTTCAAAAGGGGCTAATGTTACTTTCCCTTTGTACTTGACTGAACTGTTGTAAATCATATTATTTCTTTCTACAAACATTAACTTAGCATATAATGCACAACAATAAAGGCTGAGCTACTGGAATAAATCAGAAATAAATCATGACCTAAAAGAGCTCACAGTTTAGGGTTAGTGGGGGGAAATGTATATGTCTAGGACACAGAAAGTGATTAGTGCCATAGATAGATAAAGTGCTACAGCAGTTCAAAGGAGAAAAAGATCACTGCAGTGTCAAGCATGTGGGGAAGACATGAGTAATTACATAGTGTTTGGGATACTTGGAGACTTGGAGTGGTGAAGTCCAGGATGAAGGGTCAGAAGATGAAGAGATGGAGGTGGAACACAGGAAGAGTATAAGAACCAGGAAATAATTTGTCTGCAAAGTAAGGTGCATGATGGGAAGCGGTAGAAAGAAAGTTTAGTAAAGTTGCATCCAGATCCTAGAACTTTTGAATTCCAGAAATCAAAACAGGATCTCTGTTCTGCTGGTAGTTTGGACCTAGTGAAGGCTTTTAGACAACGGAGAAAAATGACTGGGGTATGTGTTGGGGAAATTATACTGGCACGAAAATATATTACAGATGGAGATGGGAGGTAACAGATATTAAAGGGGAGGAGGCATGTCAGCAATTACTGAAACGATGTAGGTAACAGGCAATAAGGGTCTGAACTAGAGTAGTGGTAATGGATAGAAAGCCATGGAAGTAAATGATATTTTGAAGACAGAATGAGTAGAATCTGATATTTGATTAGATATAAGAGTGGAGAAAGGATTCAAATACTCAAAATTCAAGGCTTTGGGCCCTGGTGAGTGATAAATGCCATGATTAACAGGGACAGGAAATAAGGAGATGACGATGATGATTACTAGCTCAATCCCTAGACACAGAGTTTGATGAACACTTGGTGATGTCTAGAAGGCAGCTCAAAATACACGGGTACTTCAAAATGTTTGTGGAAAGATTCATATTATCTTTTATTTCTATTTTTTCCATGAACATTTTGAAGTAGACTCATGTAATACTGAAGTTTTGAAAGCTGGACAGAGTGTATGAGAGAATTTCCTTTGTTGAGATCACTGAAATTGCAGTAATGGATGATATGAGCAAGGGAGAAGTAAGAGGTAGAAGGTGCAGATATTGTGAGGAATACCTATATATAAAGACAAGAGGAAGAAGAAGAACTAAAAAAATACATGGAGGATCAGATGTCAAAGAGATCAATGGCAAGAGTTTTAAAGAGGAAGCCTAGTGAGCAAAGTCATATGCTTAAGAGGTCAATAAGAATGAAAGCTAATAGCAGAAGCCACGCGACAGAAGCATTAAGGGTGAAGAGACAGGGAGTGAATGAGGTAGTGTATGGGAAAGCATTTTGCAAACTATGAAGAACAACACAACTTTAAGACATAATTATTGCTACCTTTCCTTGATAATGACGCCATAATCCATCCAGTTCCCAAGTCAGAAACATGGGACTCATTCCAGACTACTTCTTTCTCTTCCTCCCCTCCACGTCTGAATTGTGAACACAAGTTTTCTACTGTTTCCTTTAATGGGCTTTCCCCACTGCTGCTGTCTTATCAGCCCCAATCCCCAGCATCTCTGCAACATATGACTGCGACAGTCTTGTCACTAGTCTCTGCCTCTAATGGTATCTTCCTCAGAACCCTCATTCCAACTCATGGGTCTCCTTTCCCATTCACTTCACCGTTTTCTCTACTCCTATCTCCAACCCCCAGGTAACTACTATCTTGATTTTTTTCTATCATTCCCTTGTTTCCTTTACAGTCTTATCACATTTGTATGAGGTTGGCTTGTTTTTGAAATTTAAATAAGTGGTATCATACTATATGTTCTCTGGCATTTCTCACCCAACACTATGCGTCTGAGTTTCACTTAGGCTGACGTGAGTAGCTGTAGTTCATTTGTTTTTGCTGTTGTAGAAACATACCACGCTTATTAATCCATTCTCCTGGTATAAAAGTTTTCCACTTGAGTGAACATATTTTTAAAATATAAAACAAAAACAAATAAATACAGTGGATCTAGCTTATGCCTGCTCAAACGCAGACTTAGTTGATGGTTATGCATAATGAGTTTCTGTTTTTTTATTACATGAATAGTTTTAATTCTACATTCGAAGAGTTTGGAATAAGATAAATATGTGATGGCTATTGAATGGCTGACCCTTTACTGCTGATAAAGGTTCATTTCAGGTTGGTAACAGTTGAATGGCAATAAAATATTCTTTGTGTACATGTGTATTATGAGTACTATTTAATAGTAATCTGTAAAATATCTTATAGGTGCTGTAACATTTTCCTATACTCATTTGTGGAAACAGTTTTACTATAAAACTGAATAATTTGGTCAACAGAAGTTTAATATTACAAGATACCTGATCTTAATATGTTATTACAAAAAGGTGCAAAAAGTAGTAAGAAAAAATACTTGTATCATAAGCCCTTTCTATTTTAACATAAATAGAGACATACATAATAATAGCAGCTGTGTTCTAAAGTCAAAAGGGTGATGCCATGATATGAAAAATATTTTAAAGTATTTTATTTCAAAATAACTAAGAACTCATTTTCTACTGTTTTAGCGTTTCAAAATGGAGAAAAGGACTCTTCTATACATGTGACAAACAAATATGGGAGAAAAAATTCATTCAAGGAAAACTTTGCCAAAAGAGAAAGCCTTGGACTTTTAATAAGAACAAGAAAAAGTGTGAAGATATTTAAAACAATTTTTTAAATTAGAAGTTGTGAGATTTTAAATAAGTTCCTCAGCTTTTCAGTGCATTAGTTCCTTGATCCAGAAGATAGGGATATTATCATGATTTACCTTGACAGCAGAGGGGAAATTAATCACTAATTAGAGGTCAGAAAATATTCAAACTTTTAAATAATAACGCTGGTTAGTCAATAATAGAGATACACATTATAAAGTTAACCTTACAATCCGTTTTGAGAAGATCTGAAAACAAAAAATGACTCTCTTCCCCATAATCTCCATAAAACCGTATAACAGCAGCCAAGTGCAAGAGTTAGCATCTACAGGTCAACTGGATATCTCTGCAGCCATCTCCCCTAATGACTCTACCCTGCAAGGCAAGCAGTGGAGAGCAGCTGAGGAGACTTATTAAGGATAATGGAAGAGAAGCTAGTTCTAGGCAAGTATTAACGCTTATATTGCTAAAGGTATGCTGAGGAATTAATCACAAAATTAATTCTTTTCTGCTTGTGTTAAAATTTGGCTAAAATTAACAGTGATATCACTTTTGGTTTGTTTTTCCTTGGTGTGAGAATTTATTTAAAATCATGATATTTGTTATGATTATTAGCCCTCCCTCCTTCCACCTCCTCCCACCCTATCTCCCTCCCCTCTCCTCTTTCCCCCTTCCCCCCCAACTGCTCTGCAACATCTTAGAATGTAAAAAAAAAAATAAAGTAAAAAGAAAAAAATCATGATGTTTGTTACGATTATTAGTACTATCATTCTAAAGTTTGTGCCAACTATCAAGAACCTTATTTTTCATATGATTCACTAAAATGTGAATGCTATAATTCAATTTAAAAAACCCCCAAACTATCACAATACTAAGGAAACTTTCATTCTGCTGCATTTTGATATACTTTTTCATCAGCCAAAAATGGGAAACAATGTGAAATAATATGAATGACTCAGCACAAATTCATCATCACAGTTAGACATAACAGTGTAAAACAGCTATTTAACTGGTAGCAGGATATCTTATCAGGTGTGGAAAAATTGGGAGCTAGAGGTGCTTTCTAAGATAACTTCTCATTTAAACAATCAATGATTCCAAGTCAACATTTGATTGTAAATAATTTTTAACTTCATATTATCTTTTAATTCTATTTTTCCACAAACTTTTTGAAGTACCCTCATATAATTACACAATTATAAAATTACTATACATAATTATGTAATTACATTAAAATTTTTGGGGACTGTTTGAGAATAAGTTGTAGACATCAAGCTCCCTTAGCTTAAATGCATGTGTGTGGCTGCAGAACAGTTGTCAAATTCTTTCATTTACATTAAAAAAAAAAGTATTTGTATTAATGTCCATCTTTTAATAACTGCACAAATGTTGGTGGAGGCAGGACACTACCAACTACATTCCAATTTTCCTTCATTAATGACATAAATAATCCACACTTCCTACATTCCCCTGAGGAATAATGAGAAAAACATGCTTCTTTACCATACTTCTCGAACAAAAACAAAACAAGGCAATAAGGTCTGAACACACCAAAAGGATTTTGGGGAGGTCAGTGCTAAGCTACTATAAATATTGACTTAGAACAAAATATCTTTTAAACTAGAA